TATAAAAGAATTATTTCTCATACACATTTGTAAATACATTTTTGCAAATTTAAACGTAAATTTCCTGATTAACTGCATAGGCGCTCCCCATGTAAATGACGAAAGAAAGGTATATATATATATATATATATATATATATATATATATATAAAAAGCACTAAAAACCAACAACACTGTATATCCGAAGTGTCGGATCTACTAAGTAGATACAAGGTCACGGATGGAAATTTATATAAAGCACTAAAAATGACCAACGACACGAACAATAATAATTGTCAAATTTTCGGGACAACCTGTCCCTTCCTCAGGACAAAGAAAAAAGTTAAGAAGTCATAAAAACAAAGGAAATAGAGAAGCAAAAACAACTAGCACTACTACTAAACTACTAAACTGGTAGTTTAGTAGTAGTGCTAGTTGTTTTTGCTTCTCTATTTCCTTTGTTTTTATGACTTCTTAACTTTTTTCTTTGTCCTGAGGAAGGGACAGGTTGTCCCGAAAATTTGACAATTATTATTGTTCGTGTCGTTGGTCATTTTTAGTGCTTTATATATATATATATATATATATATATATATATATATATATATATATATATATATATATATATATATATATATATATATATAGGTACACTATGAAATCAACTGTTGATTTTATAGCATAGAGGGGTATAGACCTATCTATATATACTTATCTTTCGGCATTTACAGAATTACATGGGGGGGGGGGGGGCTATGCATTTTCCGCTTTATTTTCTGTATGACACTTACACTGGTATTTCCTCTTGAAAGGCAGTAGTCAAATGGACAGACGGTAAATTAGTCACACATTCCATGCCTACAGTGGGGTCAAAGGCCAAAGAGACGAAAGTTATCCGAGAGGTGGTGAACGGCGAGTTAATAATGGTAATAATTAACTTTCCTATTACTAACTAACACTCTAACACGTTACAGGCTACAGTCACTTGGAAAGACGGGAAACTAATTACGGAGGCCAAACCGACCGAGGGGTCAAAGGGCAAGGCGACCCGAGTGGAAAGAGAGTTGGTGAATGGGGAACTTATAATGGTAGATATCAAGCTCCAGGTTATTTTAATCCACGCCAGCATTCATAGCGCAACCTTCACATGTGTGCATGAGAAAGAAGCGCACGTGCTTTAAACACGCATGCCTGCTTATTTGCTTTTCAGAAGGGGAAGCAGACATTAATAAATCAGACCTCTGGGTCACATAATTTCTTAGTTCTTTGCTGTGTCATGCATGTTTTTCTTTTGTTTGTGTGTGTGTATATGTTTGGTTTTTGGCTCGCGGAAGGAGGGGGTGGAAAGGGAGGATTAGCTAATGTAAGACGCTGTAGCCTATAACAGGCCCATAACGGCGTAAGAAACAATGTCAGCTGGGGAGAGGGGGCACAACCAAAGATTTTCCTTTTGGGTTGGCACTACTAAGAAAAATTCATTGACAAGCAAAAAAAAAAAAAAAAAAAAAAAAAAAAAAAAAAAAAAGGAGGGGGTGGTCATCAGACGTAATTATTGAGGGGCACTTCAGTAAAATGCCCATGTTTTCTACAGTATACCATATATCAGCAAAATTATTGGGAGAGGGCACTCTCCTCCCTCCCCCACCCGGTTCTTAAGGCAAGAAAACGCATGTTGTTTCCAGAGAAAACTAACAATAAACGACTTAATCAATATTCACAAATGAGAAACATTCCTATATTTAATTCAGAATTAGAACATTAGTGAATGAGGTGTCATTTTACATTATACCAGAAAAATGTGTATTTTCAGTTATATACAATGTAGCTAGAACTAATTGCCTGTAATTGTCTCTTCTCGACTTCCGCTTTATAAGAGCTTTATAAGATTCCTATACATGTACATCAGCTAAACTGCAACTGTAAATTTAATACTAATTATGCTTTCCTAATCCTTTTAGAATTTTTCTTTGGTTTAATGACTTAATTTTCTTTATTGTAGACAGTTTATGTCAACAATGTCGTGTGCCGGAGAATCTTTAAGAAGAAATGAGGTCCACCATTTCCTCTCGCTCAGACCAGATTTGTTCAGTATTAGCATACTTCACCGTCACATTAACCATTATAATAACATGATTACATCGTATCTGGACCATGTACATATATTCAAGCTGATATGCAGCCGTTATGTATATATTTGTTCGTTTGTTTTTGGCTTTTTTGTTGGGTTTTGTTGTGGTTTTGGAGACCAAACAGATGAGCCCATTCTTTCTATAAAGTACCATAAAAATTAGTGAGATTTATAATTGTATATGAGGACCAACCAATTGTTATATGCTTGTCAACAGATCTAATAAACAAGTGTTATAAAGTCTGTGTTAGGGTTTTATTGTGTGAAAAGTCCCAGTTTTATAGCAATACATGTTCACCAGTGCTGTATTCGGCAAAGCTCGAAGGATTCCGTCGCCTTCATTATAGATGAGGTACGAATCGTCCGAGGTGTACCGAGTGTAATTTTACACAATCTTTCACCAGAGGGCGTATTACGCTCCGCTCCAACAAGTAAGCGGAGCGTAATACGCCCTCTGGTGAGAGATTGAGTCTTAGATCTGTAACATGAAGCACACCTGATACAACCTCTTCAGTCACCATTACAAGAGGCCCAAGGGCCTTACTGGTCACCTGAGTATAATACAACACTGTAAGGAACCATAGAAGTAAAAATAAACTGAGAGATGATGCCATAAATACTCAAAAGTAAGAGGAATAGGATGAACATGGATCAACAAAATAAGAAATCTTAGAGTAGATCATTTTACTTGCCTGTGCTTGCCCCAATTTGTCACTATCACAGTACGATATATCATAAAAATTCTTGTATAACTCTCTTATTCAACTGACCTTTCAATTACATTATTAACAGTGTTTAATTATCATAGGCAAATAGAAAAAGGGGAATAACATCTCTCTGTAGAATAATGAAGCCCTGCCCAGCACCGCAACACTTGACCAAGTGGTCCTGAATTTCAATTACCCTTGATTATTACAACTTTGTAATATGTTTGCTCCTAGATCTCCAGAGCAGATTTTCAAAGAAATAATGTATTTTCAGTATATAGATTCAACACAGCCCCACCCTAACACTAGAACACAATGGTAAGGGGCCATGAAAATCAAAAGAAGATGGGTGTATTTAGCGTGTGATCTGCAGGAATCATCTGTACGAAACATTCATAGTTTAATGTCCACGATTTGGTCGGCTGACCACAGGTGGACAGACTTTCCAAAGTTAGGTACACAGGAAAATGTTACGTTTGGTTTCAAATATCTTGTCAAATTGTTATATTTAAGTCTGCCCATCTTAAAAATTACTATAACATAGTAATGCTTCCCATAAATAATAAAAACCATTATGATAAGGGTATAGTTAAAGACAAGTACATTTGTATATATTATTGGAACAATTGCTTTTGCGCTCGGTGCAACAGAACCATAATAAATACATTTTAAAATAAAACAGTGCATAAAATTACACTGATAAAAGATTTGATTATTTGCATTAAAAAAAATATTAACGCTCTGTGTGAGGATAGAACTAAAAAAATATTTCTTTCTCATTGCACTGGACGGGTAACGCATACTACTGACCTATACTACAGAAACATTATGGATTTAAAAACGACATTGAAGCACCGCATTCACACATTGGATTTTTTTTTCTCGAAAAAAAGTTCATTATTTTTTTAATGGTCTCCGGGTCTTTTCTCCATTTTTTACAGATGTTTGTTTGTTTCTTTGAATTAAAATGCACACAAATAACGTTTAAAAATCATGGAAAGATGACCAGAGATAACAATTGTTTTTTGAAAAACATGTTTAAAATTGTGAAATTTTGTATAAAATGACTCATCTAGCCAATTTTCAAGTTATGTTTAGCAAATCAAAACACAATATCAGGAAAATATTTCCCTTTCATATTTCTCAGGAACCGGATACATCAAAAGAATGCTAAAATTTCATGTGACAGATCAATGACATTTTCACTTTTCAAGTGTGCCCAAATTCCTGCCAAATGCCTATCTAAAATGCCCTCGTTCTTTTGTAAGAGAAACACTTGCTCATCATAAATATGAACTTAGTTAAATTTTTCAAAGAATTAATGCATCTTCACTATATATTCAATATAGTCACACCCAAACACAATGACCCATGACCCTGAGGCCATTAATTTCACAGTTTTGGAAGAGGCACCCTTGCTCATCATAACATTGCATTTAGTTCCTTTGCTTAATACCCTGGAGCAGAGAAAAAGATTTTTTTTTTTAAAAAAATATGTATTTTCACTATATAATCAATACAGCCCCATCCTACAACCAGAGCATAACCCTGGGGCCAAGAAATGCACAATTTTGGAAGAGGCATCCTTGCTCAACCTAACCATACACTAAGTACATGTTTGTTTGCTAAATACCTAGGGGCAGAGCAGAGGTTTTTCAAAGAAACAATGCATTCTCAGATTATATTCAACAGAGCCCCACCCTAACACCAAAACCCCTATGAATTTCACAATTTTGGAAGAAACACCAATATTTTCAAAGAGTCAATCAATATATAATCCATAGAAACCTGCCCTAATTCCAGAACACCTGACGCATGGGGCATGAAATTCACAGTTTTGGTGAGCAAGGGTGTCCCCCTCCAATAATTACAAAGTAGCCCCCCCCCCCCAAAAAAATAAATAAAACTGAAAATGTTTGGTTGTTACCCCCTCCCCCCTTTTTTTTTTAATTTAAATTGTTTCCTATGGGACTGGAGCTAAGACAAAAACAGAACAAAAATAAAATGTCTCTGGTATTTCACTTTGGGGGAAATCAGAGAATTAGTTAGTACACTGATACAAGACTGAAAATATATAGTGCTATACAAATGGTTGTAATGTGAGAAAATTTGCCTTCACTCCGGTACTTGAAACAAACTTGTGTCCTTGTCCATCCAAGACCATAAAAAACTTTGTACATACAAAATTTGTGTTGAAAAATTTATTTTCTAAAATATTTTTGACAATAATTTACATTATATTAAACAATACTGAATAGAAAAATATTATGACTTTCAACTACAAAAATTATCTGTGATAACACATGATAAAAATTCTTGCACAACCTTACAGATAAAAGTCCTTGATATGCTTATACATGTATACTGGAATGTAACCTATTAGCTACCTACAAAATTGATGAGGGATTTCTAATGAAAAAAAAAGTGTGTTCTACCATGACATACCACAACCCTGATGTGATGAGTGGGTACAAAATTAAGAAAACTCACGGAAAAGAACACTTATATTAAATCTATTACACTTGTGTATACAGCTTACTTTCATACATGCATAAAATGTCCAATGGATCCACTAATCATTACATGCAAGAATCTGTGCTTTAAAAAATACATTCATTTCTTTCTTACAAACTCATTCAAGGCAATGAACCATGATAGAAATTAAACATGTACATAGCACTGATATTATTATATATACAAATGATAAAAGACAATACATGATTATCACAGTATGTTTACAAGGTTACCATGACGATGACACCTAGCAACACACATAATGACCTCTTATACATGACCCCGAGCGACCTCCAAATTAGTGTCAGTAGAGACAGTTGACTGATTAACACAAAAATACAGATATCTCAGCCATTCATAATGGACTGTACAACACAATATAAAAACTGTATAAAATGTTATACATGTATGTAAAGGTTTGATCTCTATGTAGGAATCTCATGCTTTGATGTATAAATGGTTACAATATCAAATGAGTATTTTATAATCTAAACATAAACAGTGCATATTGTTCAAATTTTAAATCAAATTATAATTTATTGTGTTTAATCAAAATATAAATGTTGATTTCTGAATCAATTCCTGATTTTGTAATAATCTTTGTTGATATGCCTGGCCGATACAGAGTATTAAATAAGTTGCGATTTTTCCATACTAATATAACAAATTGATGTATATCAATATAAAAGGATAAAGTTCATTCAAAATTCTTATTACTTGATTATGACTGCATCAATATGCCAATTAAAAGTACATATAATTCTGGTAATTTCATTACTATCAATCATGTTTACAGTAACTGTCAATCATTTCCTTTTTAATCATTTTACAGCTTTATCACATATACAGGTATTTTATCATTCCTGAATCATATTAATAAAATTTCATATAGCCTTATCAAGTTTAGCCTTATCAGTCAGAATCTTCCTCATAATTATTGTACATGTCCGCTAATTTTGAGAATTTTGGTCCCCACTCATTTAGGAAGTCGTAATCCTGGTCTCCACCCGAGGATGACGTATTTAGAGAACTCAGTGAACCGGCATCACTGCCCTCCCCTTCATACTCGAAATCGTGCAGCGTGTCATGTGGAGGGGCATCAGGGTCATTGTTTGTGTCGTCAAGGCGATCTGTGATAAAGTCCCCAACAGTCCCTCCTGGGGGTCCAGCTGTATAAACAATGCACGGATTATAAACATAGACTCGACTGCTTCATCCTGAATCTTACAGATTTTACAATGACCATTAACTTGTGTATAATAACAAGAGTGAACTCTCAGGAATTAACATATTGTATGGTAATAGATTTGATAATTTGATGTATGGATGAGTAACATATAATTAAGGTTATTACATACATTTAAGAGGCCTGCTATGGGTCGCCATGATTGGTTTATCCATCCTCGTCATGTCCGCTGGTTTCCTCAATCGGTTTATATCGTATCCCTCGTGGTCATCTTCACCTGTCACACAATCATTTTTTATATTAATTCATTGATCTGTTTACTTTTGTAACTGTAGAATCAGTGTAGAATCATTCAAAAAGCCCACACCATAAAGTACACGTAGATGCAAAATCATATAAATTCTTTCATAATGGCATGCTTCACTACTTAAAGGCGAAGCAACCTTTACAAAATTACTTTTGTATTCTAATACTTAAGAAAATCTTTTATTACAAATGGTATATGTCATATATATTATCTAATACTCTGTCAAAATCAATCGAAATTAACTTTCAATCTAAATACATGCACATGTAAATGAATATATTTTATAAAATTGTTCTCTTACCCGCCCCATCTTCGTCGTAATCTACAATGTTTTCGCGGATGTCGTAGTCGTCTTTTTCATAGTTCATGATGTTTTCCTGATCAGCTGCTTTACGTCGTCTTATATACAGAGCCAAAATAACTGCCACAGCTACAAAACCCAGTGTGTTGTTGTGAGGTAACAATGTATTAAACAATACTGAGAGTCATCAGATTTAGAATCAGTAATACTTTTATACAAATAATATGAAATGGCATTTTAAAGTACTAATACATGTGATTAAAAAATTTCTTAAGAACTCTTCAGAATACTGCAATAAAATAAAATGCTCAAAATCTGAACGTTTAAAAATGGAAATTTTAATATATGCAGATATTCATACAAAGAGAACGCTGTGACTGACTCACCAATAAGCAATAGTATCAGAATGACAGCCAGAATTATGATCCAAATGGAGCTGGATGCTTCTGTCACCACGATCGGCTCTTTGTACACATTACACAGACGACCGCTCATGTTGGGGGCACAGTTACAGTAATAACCGAACTCTGTGTTTGTCTTATCAGATACACAGGTGGCCAGGTGGTGGCACGGAGAATTCTGACAATAATCTATAAACACACAGGTGGCACCGATCTCCTGGTGGTGTGGGGGGCAGCTGTAAAAGGGAGGTAATTACGTAAAGATTTACAGGGACTAGCCTGAATAAAACTCTTAAAATTCAAATAAACTCCTAATGACCGAAAAAATTACTTACACACACTTATGCATGCCCCATAGAGGGACACAGATCTTTCCGTTCATTCCGCATATATTTCCTGCACAGTCATCACGTGTACAGTTATTTGTTGTCTCTGCCTCTGCCACCATCTTTACATCAGGATTGTCGTTGTTCTCTGTCGCTGTCATTGGGAACCACTTCATGTCCATACGGATGTCATTCAAACAAGCTGAAATGTTCACAACAGTTACAGATACAAGGTATAATGCCAAATTTTTACACGTGTTATTACGATAAAACATTTACAACAATGTTATACATGTAATATTCACTCCCATCATAAATTAAACCATTACTTCTGCATGTATTAAAAAATGTTGAAAATGAAATGTTATACACTAATAATTAGGATAAAAATGATCTTTCTAATCCCAATATTTCTGTGCTTTCAATAAAAACACTCCACAATTACATGTGTACATCTCCATTGATCCCCCCAACACTTACAGTTTTCTAGATACCCCAACACGTACAGTTTTTCAGATCCCACCAACACTTACAGTTTTCTAGACCCCCCAACACTTACAGTTTCCTAGATCCCCCCAACACTTACAGTTTTCTAGACCCCCTCCCCAACACGTACAGTTTTCTAGATCCCCCCAACACGTACAGTTTTCTAGATCTCCCCAACACGTACAGTTTTCTAGATCCCCCAACACTTAGTTTTCTAGATCCCCCAACACTTACAGTTTTCTAGATCCCCCAACACCTACAGTTTTCTAGATCCCCCCAACACTTACAGTTTTCTAGATTCCCCAACATATACAGTTTTCTAGATCTCCCAACACTTACAGTTTTCTAGATCCCCCCAACACGTACAGTTTTGTAGATCCCCCCAACACTTACAGTTTTCTAGGTCTTTGGGATTAGTCTGGTCAATGGTCTTGGAGTGTTCATAGCTGACCTCAGCTCCAGCATATATCTGGTTCTGTTTAACGGTCAGTTCCTGGTATTTAGAGTCCACACTTGTCTCAACAAACAGTGGGCCTTCACCCCCATCCTGTGATAAAATAATGCTTCGTCCTCGGCGCTGGAAGTACAGGGTGTGCCAATATCCATCTGCTGCTGTGACATTAACCATCTGAAGGACTTTGTTTCCATCTCCAAGATTGTACAGGACTTGTATGACATTGTCTACAATCTGAAATGAAAGTACACAAACTCTTAGCTTTTCAAGAAAGAAATTCACAATGGAAATACAAATCTCTAAGCAAATTATTTTGAATTAAGTTTCTTATTTCTGTAACAAGAATTTTCTTGCAAAACATCTTCAAACCCATCACTGAAAATGTATCTTTTGAACATTAAATGTAGGAAATTTTTGAGATGTTTTCTACAGATCAGAATACCTTACCTCGAGTTTTATGAACTCTCCAATGCCCTCGCCAGTGACGTGGAAGATCATGCCGCTTTTGTCCCGAGTCCTGTACATCAGCTGGACATCCATCTTCCTCGTGTTCAGACTGGCCTGAAACTGCTGCTGTAATGCCCAGTCCATGTAACTCTTGGTCAGGAAAAACTTCTCTGTAGTCACTGGAAAAGGAAAGGGTCAAATAAGTAAATCAGTGGATTTTATTTTCATCATGATTTATATTTTAATGAATTTAGCATGAATATGCATATATGCAGTCTGTATTTCATAAGACCTTGAACTGACAAGTCTAAATTGGTACAAAAAGAACAGAGATAAATAAACAAAGAAAAGTGATTACAGCTGGATATCAGAAATTTGATCAGAACTGAAATTTACTCATTTACAATGTATTTGTTGAAGAAAAAAACTACAAGCATCTTATTTTCTGGAACACTAACATACAATAAACATGTACCTGTTTCACAGCTGGTACCACGGTACCTGGGGTTACAGATGCACCGAGTGGTTTGGGGGAGCGACACCAGTTCACATTTTCCATTCTCCCCACATTTCTTTGGTTGATCAGGAGAACTCTCACAGGCGTTATCTTCCTCTGGACAGCCATCACGACTGCCAGGGTAAAAGTTCTTAGTGTATAAGTTATACAACTGAAAAAAAGCAAGAACAATGTTAAAAATATATTCTTAATTTAAACTACATGTATATTTGTCTCAAATCTAATCTCAATGGACAGGACTTAGAAACTGTGAAACTAAATTATTTTCTGATGTTCTGATCTACTCTTCTCAAAATTACACATATTGTTTTTTTTTAAAATCTTTTTTGCCATAAATGATATAAATCTTTCTCTGTACCTCTCCATTATGCCTCATATTCCGTACACAGCCTTTAAACTTCTCGTTACTGACGCCACTGGGATAATTGGTGTCGACATAACGCCCTCCCATCTGTAATGGTGCATTCACATTCAGGAAGATGTTTTCTCCGCGGGTCAATCCACTGCTCTCACACGGCATTCTGTCCTGATCCTGACCGTCAGAACTATCAGCTGACAGACAGTGGTCTACTGTCAATGTCACAAACTACAAAAACACACAGAATGTCAGGTGAACATACAGACAGTGGTCTACTGTCAACGTCACAAACTACAAAAACACACAGAATGGCAGGTGTGTATTATATAATGTATGACACTTGTGGTCCCCTGACCAGAATACAAAAATAACCCTGCATTACACAGCTAACATACAATGTACATTACAAATGCTGAATAAAAATAAAATGTATTTTTTCTGATCTTACCTTGCCTTGCCTTGTGATGTCAATCTTATGCCAGGTCCCATCATTTAGAGGACTCATTTTCAGCTGCCCCTGTGAGTTCCTCCCATTCAAGGTCAAGGTCACATTCCCTGACCCATGGTCAAGGACCAGCTCTGGGTAACCCCCTGTTAACTGGAGGTACATAAAGTCCTGAGGGGCGTTAGGGTCTAGATTAGTGACAGGTCCACTATAAAGGATCAGACCGTTGGCTTTCGTGGTGATGATTTCTATGCTGGTGAGGGAGTTCTCACACTGTTGTAGTGGTTCGTATATAGCGTATCCTGTCCCGTCAAATCCCTGCTTCGTCACCTGACAACGAGGCCCATCAAACCCAGCCAGACATTCACAGCTTTAAAACAGAACACCAATATTATAGAAAACAATTTATTTTCAGGTTTTTTTCTACCAGCAACCTAAATAGAGAAAAAAACAGACTTCCAATTAACCAGTATTAAATTTTCATATTTTATAATTGAATTTCTTTAACTTCGTTAACGAGAGTAAAATTCAAAATAATTAAGGGTGTACTTTTTCCATTTCATATTTTACCTGATAACGTCCCAGTCGTTCATTCTACATGTCCCACCGTTCATACAATAGTCGGGGGTACACGATTTGACATTGGTTGACACAGTGCAGGCGCACTCTGCCACCACCCCTGTTTTGACTCCCACAACTGACTGTCCATTTGTTGTCACCATGTTGGGCTCATCGTACACCACAAGTTTGTTGTCACATCCACCGCCCTCGCATACCTCGCGGTAACACATGTCAATGCCCACCATAGCTATTGTGGCTCCTGTGTCTTGTTGAAACTAGAATAATGAAATCAACTCTTGTTATCAGAATGTTTCTGCAGAAAGAATGAAAAATTCAAAAATTTTAAATTAGTGAATTATAATTATAAGCATTTTGTTGATCCACAGATTAAAACATGTCAGTAAAATACAAGGAGTTTGTATTTAATATGTAACTACATGTACCTGACTGATGAAGACAGATCTTGTTTAAATAATTATATGACTTTGTTTTTACTGAAACCAATTTAAAATAAATTCTCTAAAATAAAAAAAATTACATCCTTTTTCTATTCTTGAATGATTTTTTTAAAATAAAAACCTACTTTGCAATAAACCCTAAATGATTTTATCATCAAATATCATTTAAGCACTGTTTTGTGTAATTCTAATTATACTTTGACCTACTGACCTCGTCTCTATACTGATTTACGACGCCATCCAGCTGACTGCCCTGGAAGTACGGAGATCCGTACGCGGCGTACCTCACGTCTGTGTAATCCACCCCATCCACAGTCGTCTTCAGTACGGAGATAATCTGAACATTGTCAATCTTGGGAACCTTAAGTTTCTCCTTCATGCGGAGTCGGAATTTTGTATAAGGACTCTCTCCAGTCTGTGGCTTCTTTATAAAATCCTCTGGAGTTGTACCTGATTTTTAAAGAGAGTTAAACTGCATTTAACACTTTCCTTCTATTTCCTCATGTATATATGTACATTGTATATCAACTGCAGTTCTTACTGATTTAAATAACTGTATTTACACGTGTCTCTGATCCAGATATTAACCTGCAAGTCTGACTGAGTTAGATATGCACCTGTAAATTTGACTGATCCAGATATTTACCTGTAAGTCTAACTGATCCACATATTTACCTATAAGTCTAACTGATCTGGATATTTACCTATAAGTTGGACTCATCTGGATATTTACCTACAAGTCCGACTGATCCAGATAATTACCTGTAAGTCTGACTGATCCAGATATTAACCTGTAAGTCTGACTGATCCACATATTTACCTATAAGTCTGACTGATCTGTATATTTACCTATAAGTCTGATTGATCCAGATATTTACCTGTAAGTCTGACTGATCCGGACCGATATGGAGCTTCCTCTGGTAAGTCAGTGATGTAGACGGTTACCGTGGATACGACCTTGAGAGTGTTAAACACCCGGTCAAAGATGTCCACCTGTAAGTTGTAGCCAGTGACTGTGGCAGGAACATGTTCCAACATCCGAATCATTCCAGAGCTCTTGTTTACACTGGATAAGAACATAGACATTAAATCCTCAGGAATTAAGCTAAAAAGCTGGTGTATTTTCAGGAAGAATGCCATGTAAATGTGGTAGAGAGAACTCTGTAGTAAACAGACTCAAACTTTTATTAATTTTTTAAAATCCTGATGAGTGTGTTTTGTACAATACACCAAAATATTCTAGGAGAGTGATTGTCTGAGGAAGGTAATCACTTAAGTAACACACAGTTTAACAATACAGTAGGAAAATATTGCACGGATTTCATTAAGTACAAAAGCATGCTACATTATTTCATGGGCTTAACATAAAATTTTGCTGGATGTGACTTTTTTATAGACTTAGTTCATTAAGTACTGCTAAGGGTGACTGTTTCATAGTCATACTTTTATACACTTGCGTTAAGTACTGCTGGGGATAACTATTTTATATACATATGTAAAGTACTGTTAAGGGTGACTGTTTGATACACTTACGTAAAGTACTGCATTGCCTGCTGTGAACCAAGAAGGGTAAATGTTTTATCGTCCAGATCATCATCATCCAAATCTGTGTCGGACACTTGACCAATGTCAATATTACCAAACAGTCCTACAAGAAAAAGTCAATATGGAAGTTATCCAAGGAATTCAGAGACAGTCTGTATGACTGTTAACAATAAACATCTCTATTTCACGTAATAGTTACTAATAGAATCATTCATTACTACGAGTGTGGGATAGTGAAATTCCACCAAGGGGACAAGATTCACGGTCTAGGACGAGGCTTTGCCGAGTCCTAGACCGTGAATCTTGGCCCCGAGGTGGAATTTCACTATTCCCACATGAGTATGTAATGAATGATTATTTTTCTCGCATTATTTTATCCAAAATAACGGCCTGTCAATGACGTCGCCATGATAGGGCTAAAAATATATTCTTTTAATTTTCCATCTAATTAAAAATCTAAATACACCATCGGAGAGAGCGAACCTGAAAATGGTTTACACAGAGTGTAAACTGATAAAATGAATTTAAGTCCATGTAAATTAATTAGATAGATAAAAACTGGGAATAAAAAAACTTATCTATCCGATAGCGTACATTCTTCATTCAAGAAGAATCCTTCCGCGATCTAAAAATAGTGCCATTTAAAAAGTGAAAATACGACAATATTTTGAATGAAAATAAGTTTATCTTGATAAGTTAAATGACAACATTTTAAGTATATGTGATATTTTTTAACATTGTTACAATTTCTTTATATAAAGACGGAATGTTTACATTATCGTTCGCGGCGTAGTAATACACAGTGTAAGACAGAAAAATCTCACACTACTGTCTCACACCGGACAAGTCAATCCTACACTGGTGATTATGCGAGAAATAATTATATCATACATGCATGCAGTTACATATATCATATAATTGTATCACAAAATGGTTATATCTACTCTACCTTTGTAATTGTACACGTGGATGTTCTGATGTGCCGGTGAGTGGGGATTATCATTCTCATCCCCTATCTCTATTGTCAGCGTACTCGTAGCTGTCCGACCCACTGTAGACTGTTCAGGATGTCCTCTCATGTCTGTCATCTTGATTGGGAGATAGTAGAACTTCTGGTCCTCACGGTTGAATGTCACTCGTGACCTGATAGTGGCTAGTCCATTTCCATTGTCTCCAGCTATCAAAAAATCAATCAAAACAGACTGTATCAAATATCCCTTAGGGTGATTTTATAAGAAATACATTTAAGAGATAATATTGTCCCATTTTAAATCGACCATTTCTTGCATGCTCTTTCATGTTACATAAACGATCATTTACATTACACGAAAGATTCTGCATGTCAGATTGGTTTGTCAACATATACATGTAGATGTACGTTGCAGCCACCGTAGTAACTAATTATTGAATTTAATCACAGTTACATGTTCGGTACATAATAAAGGATGATAAATTATACAAATATCATGTGAATGAAATTAAATTTACTTCATAAATCATTGAGAGATTTATTTTACTTCATAAATCAGAGACTCACAGGGATTAAAATCCAATGAGAACTTGTCACAGATGGATGCTATGCACACTGCCTCGAAGGTAAACGGGGCTCCATAAGGGGTACCATCGGGGTCCACTCCGTAAAGAATTGTCACTTGCTGGGGTGGACTATTCTCTCCGACCTTGGGAATGGGGCCAGGGACAGCTCTGAAGGTCGGGTCCTCGTCGTTTATGTCCTTCACGTTAATTGTCAAGGTCGCTGTACCAGTGTTAGGGGGGATTCCTGTAATGTTAAGTCTAGAGTAACAGCAGCATTGTAACACATCATGTGAAAAAACACTACTCTATAAATGCTCTTACATGCCTATTATTTTACTCCGGAAGAAGTATATTTTGTAAATTGGTTGAAAATGAAAAACATTTTGTACTTTACTGTTCTGTGTATGACAATCTTTGATTTCAATATTGTGATATTTTTTATGATAAATTATACTGTGGCACTGATACTGACTGTATACCAACAAGGTGATTTCAATAAATTAAATTGAATTTATTCAGAAGTATTAAAGTACAGTCAAATCTAATTTTCTTGAACTGATGGGGCCAAGTTAAAACTTCAAAATATCTGAAGATTCAAGGGTAAAATAAATTTTTAAAATGTGGATTGGATTTAAAATTAAACATATCCATGGTATTCCAGATACATGTATATTGATGTTAAAGATACCAAAGTTCAAAGGTATATACATGTATTTGATAAAATTTAATCAAAAACATGTTTGGAAAAATGTCAACATGCACAGTATAGGGCCACAATTAAAATATTGTTGGTTTGGCATTGCCGACTTGGTCTTTATACGTTTGGGTCAGTAGGTAGGGAAAATATTTTTTTATTTAAATTTCAGAAATGGTACAATCATGTTGTTAGTATCCCAACGTCATAGGTTTCCGATAGTTTAACAACAACCACAGTGCGAATTGGTTTCTCAGTTTTGTCATTGATTTTCAAACCCTATTAGTTTTAAACCTTTAATATACATAGTATTAAAAATCACTGACATTAAATAAGTGTAAATTCGAATCATGTGCACGAATCCAAGCATGGCAGCTAGACTAGCAAATTGGACAGGACATTGTACCGTGAAATTTCTATTTCTAACTGGTATATCTTACTCATCAGTTTACTTTTAAAACCACATTACCACAGAGAGTCATGCCATCAACTTCTGTAAAACCGAGTTTACATTTTACCGCTTTCAACAGCCATGCTTGGATTCGTGATACGCATTTATTCAGCATCACATAGATGCTTATAAATGAAAACTGTTTGATCAATCAAGCGTTTACATGATTCTTTCCCATTCTGAATATATTACGCAAACGTACAAACATCTAAATTCGGATGAATATAACGAAATAAAAATTATGATCAGTATCTGTTGAAAAAATTCTTCGGACCACACTGATTTATGTGAGTCGGCCGGCAACGCCAAACAAAGCTAATTTTATTTTTGGCCTAGAGGGAAACAGGTTCTCTACCTCTGTCTATTGCCAGAATCTTCACAATGTGTTTTGTCAGTGTCTCATGATCCAGGGAATTTTTCAGTGACACTGTTCCATTATCCCTATTCTGTGTAATCCTGAAGTAATAGTCTGGCTTCTCACTGATTGGTTTTCGGGAAACGTAGAAGCTGAAATTAAAAGTTTTCTAAATTACCAAACAAGTTGTATGAAAGCCATAAGCATCATATCAGCAAGAACTTGATTACTCATTTTAACTAAAGACATTCAAGCTGGGAAGAAATATGGTCTGCCCCATTTAAATTATTTTTTTAAAACATTAACCAGTTTTTCTTTCTCTTCAAGAATGGTTTTTTCCCTTTCATATCGATTTAAGCCAGACTATATACATGTATATATAATGAAAATGTTTTAAACATTCAAAACTGACACAAATAACAGCGAAGACAACTCACTCAAACAAGCCATTGGTTCCCTCGTCTCTATCTGTTGCCCTGAAATTGGCAAGGACTTCCCCGATATTGAGGTTCTCAAATTTAGTGATCTCTACACTTTGTGGCGTGATTATTGGGATCTCGTCATTCACATCAATGACTGTGATCTCGATGTATGCGATGTCTGTAAATCTGCCATCACTGACTTCCGCTGTCAGATTAAAGAATCGCTGAGCAGGGTTCTCATAGTCAGGTTTCTAATAGAAACAACAAGAAAATATAAATTATTAAAGAGAAAATTTATTTCAATGTAACTAAGATAAACCTTTATCATTCCAAATAGAAACACTTACAGTGTACACTTCAAGTCGCCCATCTCGTCCATCCACTGTGATCTGGAAATGTGTCCTGTCATTGAGACCAATGAGGTTATAAGACAGGGTGTCATCAATGTCAAGGTCATTAGCCCTGATGGTGATGATGAGCCCCTCCTGGGTCTCGGGAATTGTCTCCCTGTATATCTTCTTCTCAAACACTGGCTCGTTGTCATTTATGTCTTTGATGTTTACTGTTGCCGTGGCAGTGGCTGACAATGGGGGCACTCCTGCATCCTTAGCAACCACCTCAAAAGTGTACACTGGATGTTTCTCACGATCAAGGTCCCTAACAGTAGTGTAGACTTCCCCTGTTATGTTGTTAATTCTGAAGGCATTGCGTGGCAGCTGTGTTCCCGCTACGATAGCATAACTAACCTTGGCATTGGCTCCTTCATCATTGTCATTGGCAACAATCGTCATCACCAAAACATCTGACATCACAGAAAAAATATGTTATCTTATCATTAAACACTAATGAAAATTAAATTTTTTTTGTATTTTTAGGGGTAAATAACCTCAGTTTGAGCTAAGAAAATGAAGGAATTTGAAATTCAATAATCAATTTACTTTATCCTATAAATAAAAAGAAATCTATTCAAAATTTTAAAAAATTCTTACCTGGGTTTGACATTTCATTCACTGAGCCAATCAGAGAATTAGCATCAAACTTGGGTCTGTTGTCATTGATGTCCAACGGGAAGACACGGACCGTGGCGTAACCAGTCAAGTGTGACTCAGCCGCGGGCTCATCAATGGCGAGGACCGTAAACTGGTACACCGCCCGCCCGTCTGGTTTGTCGCGGTCCAGTTCACCATTAATGGTGATGACACCGCTGTTTTTGTCGATGGAGAAGAGACTATTGATGACTGCATCGTCCTGAGACAGGGAGTACTCAATCAGATTCTGGGGATTTCTGTTAACGTCCAGGTCTGTAGCGTGGACCTAATGAGCAGAAAACAATGACGAATGTTGTCAATTTAACACATACATGTACAATCATTCCACTTGGACTTTAAACAAATCATATATAAAGGTAACTACACTTGTCATTTGCCAAGAAATCTGATCTTGAAGCATAACATTTTATTCTATGAGCTTCAGCTGTAGTATTTCAATATTTCATTTGATAAAATATTTCATAGATTTGGCTCCTCAAAAGAATGAGTCCTTTATGAGTATTTATCCTTTACATGGACTAGTCTTTGACATGAACTACAGTCCCTGTGTTTTTTAACCTGTATGTGAATTACAATGGTTCTTTACATGGATTAGTTCTTTGCAGGGACTCATTCTTGATTAGTCTTTGCCTTGTATTGGTCCTACACATGTGGACTACATGTACTAGCTTAATGAGTAGATCTTAACTAACTGTAATTAGGACTTGGTTGTAGACTCTGCCAACCTCTAGGGTTAGGGACTTAGGGTTAAGGTTAGGGTTAGCTGGTATTATGTGGACTACTAGCTTATATAATAATAACTGACTGTAATTAGGACTTGGTTTTAGACTCTGCCCTCCTCTAGGGTTAGGGTTAGGGCTAGATGGTATCATGTGGACTACTAGCTTATATAATAATAAATAACTTACTGTAATTAGGACTTGGTTGTAGACTCTGCCCTCCTCTAGGTTTCGGATGTCATATGTGTTCTGATCAAACTTTGGCGTGTTGTCATTGGTGTCTATAATGGATATTTGTACCATGGTCTGACTGCTAAATTTCCCATCATTCACTACCAGTGTCACATTGTAAACCTGGAATAATTAAAAAATACAACAATTTATAAACAAATACAAGTACTTAGGATAGCATTGATTTTTTTCTAACCTTAAAAAAGGAGTTTCTTCATGTCATATTTACCCCAATTTCTTTAAAAAAAAAATCATCTTATCATGAAACTTCCCTATATTTTCCCTGAAAATATTCATAATAATTGCAAATATTGTTATATGTGTAAATATGCTTGTAATGTCTGTCAAGAGTTATAACAAAGCAAATTTATTCACTGTAATATTTAATAAAATGCCGTGTTACAAAGAAAGTAAAACATGCCTAATTTTTGTTTACAATGAACTTACATTGGGTTCAGTCTCGTAATCCAAACTTCCAGCGACATAAATTTCTCCAGTTCCAGATTTGACAGCAAAGAGACTAGAGCCAGACAGGGAATATGTGAAAGTGGCCTCTGTCAAAAGAGAAAGTAAAAGTTACAAACAGAAAAGAAAAAGCTACAGAATTTCAATGCTGATTTCATATTTCTCAAAAGATGTTCTAAAGATCTGGTATATAAAATTTTAATGTATTATACCTGAATAACTAAATGAAACCCTATGGTGACTTATTATCATTTTGTGAAAATGAATCACTCACCGTCCAAATCCTTGGCTGCAATAGTAGTGATGGACTGGCCTGTAAACGAGTCTTCACGTACCGAAGCAAAATACAGGCTCTCCTCAAAGTACGGCTTGTTGTCGTTTACGTCCTTAATAGATACTCTAACAACAGCGGAGCCTAGATTTAAATGAAGTCAAGTAAATAAACTGACACAGAATTAAGAATGCCCAAAGGATTAAGACTTGCTAAAGCACTAAGAGTAAAATGACAATGGATTGATAATGTCACTTTCTTATTTAATGTAAGATAAATCTGAATTTTATAACAACTTTGTTTTACTTTAAACACACCTGTATTGTGGGCACCTGATGTTCCTCTGGAGGATGGAGCGCCATCTACTGCATAAACCTTTAGGATGTAGAAATCCTTCGTCTCACGATCAAACTGGACTCGTGTTCTTATCATTCCAGTCGTAGGGTTAATTTCAAACTGATCCGTAGTGGTACTGCCATCTGGATGGAGGGCATATGTCACCTTTGATATTAGAAAAAAAGAACTCAATTACAGCAACAGTTACATTTTACAGTCAACACCACCCAAGTTCTACTTTTCTGTAAAATTTATTCAGAAAATATCTAAATTGTCACAATCATATGGAACATCATGTGGTATACTTTTATTCAATATCTCTTGTACATTAATTTCTGTGATTAAGACTTAAAAAACATCAGGTCAATACAGTGTAAAAGTTTTATCTTAGTCTTCAAACTTGAATAAACAAGATTTTTATTTTTACATCTACCAGGTATATTTTTCAAATCATGTCAAAATTTTGTACAAGGTTCAATAATAAATGTTGACTTTCAAAAAATTACCCTTTTAAAACTCTCCGTTTCATCAGCATCAATAGCACTGACACTTTGGACTGGAGTTCCTGGATCTTCATTCTCGAGCACGCTCAGTCCAATGTTTCCTGTTTGGGGGTCAATGTTGAGAAATTTTGGAATCTCATCGTTGGCATCCTCTACTACAATCTTTGGGTAATTGTCACTGTTTATAGGTGAGTCATAAACATTCTGAAAAAACAAGATCATAGGAAAATTACTCAGTAGAATTCAAAAGAGTTTAAATAGAATTAGGAATTGTTAGACTTATTCCCAACATAATACATGTATAGCCTGTCTTTAAAAAAACTGCATGTATGCATGAGTTCAAAATTCATGAAGACATGAATTAGTCAAATTTGAATATTTTTTTGCTTTATGTAAAATCATATTTTGGCAGTATTCATGACATAGCACATAGGATTGCAACAAGGAATCCCTCTGAAATACATGTAAATATTCAAGTACATCCCCCTCCAAAAAATGAATTCTTTTCAAGAAGTTTGTTTTAAATACATGTACAATTAAACTTCAAAATGTATTTACTTTTACAAAATAAATTTCCTTTCTTTCCCTCTCATCAGATACTCACAGAGGCTCGGAGATTGAGCGTGTACTCTTTCTGTGTTTCGTAATCGAGGATTTCCAGGATGGTAAGATTGACCGTGTCTGCACTGCTACGAATGATAAACTTCTCTGTTCTGTCCGAGAGCTCTGTCTGTCCATTCTTGTTAATGACCATGTTAAATATCAGTGAAGGATCAGGGATATTGGTAATACGATTCTGGGCTGACAGTGAGGCGATTACAAAGTTTACACTCTCAGACTCCTTGACCCTATAAGTTGGATTTATGGGGTTCCAGAGAGGGGGCAGAACACCAGAGTCTGTCGTAAGGGCTATGTTTATGGTCACATCTGTACTTCGGGGTGGAGTACCTTGATCTGTTGCCGTGGCAACTAATGTGACACTGGAATCCTACAAATGCAAGCAAGTACAACTTAATGTTATAAATAAGGCAATTTTATTCGAAAAGAAAGATTTTAGCAGTATCAGTCAAAATTGTAAACATTTATGAGGTAAATCAGAAACTCACTTAGATTTAAACTTAGCTCACTGATTTCTAAGAAGGAAAGTACAATTTTTATATCCATTGCATTACATATACGCATATGGAAGGAGCTGACTACTTACTGGTAACTGGAGGGAGCTGATTACTTACTGGTAACTGGAAGGAGCTGACTACTTATTGGTAACTGGAGGGAGCTGACTACTTACTGGTAACTGGAGGGAGCTGACTACTTACTGGTAACTGGAGGGAGCTGATTACTTACTGGTAACTGGAGGGAGCTGACTACTTATTGGTAACTGGAGGGAGCTGACTACTTACTGGTAACTGGAGGGAGCCGGCCACTTCAATGTCTCCTGTGTCCTGGTTTATGCTGAACAGATTATTAGGATTAGACTTCAGAGAGTACTTCACATTAGCGTTATCTCCTAAATCTTTGTCCGTAGCTTTGATTGTCAAGACTTTAGTCCCGTCAGTGGCGGACTTCAAAACTCGGCCCTCATACTGAGATTTTCCGAACTCTGGATTGTTGTCATTGATGTCTCGGATGGTGACGGGGAACGTACAGTAATCATCTAGTGGGTTACCTCCCTTATCCTGCACTTTAACAGTGATAAATAAGTTCTTGGAAGACTGCGTCTCTCTGTCCAGTTTCTCCCTTGTGTATATTTCACCTAATGACATCAAGAGTGAGATATTAGTAATTTCTGTAAATTCATAGCTTTGGTAATGCACTGTGGCCATGCTAAAATTCTTTCTAAGAGGAGATGTACTGTACTTTCAACCTTTGAAATACATGCAAGAGTCATCAAATTGAAAATATAAAAAAAAAAATTACATTTTGATACCACATTTGAACATAAAAGTGGATTTGCAAGGCCAGTTTTCTTAAAAAGAGACTAAGAAGTTTAAAAAAATCAATTGATAGTTTTCACCTATTTGTCAACATCTGTGTAACTGTTATTTTCATGGGCCCCTTAACCTATGTATTATTATTATTTACAGTAAGCACCTGTACATTATTACCTGTTGATGAGTTAATCCTGAAGTAATTTTTTTCCTGATTGTCATCCAGTTCCTTGACACTTGTAATGGAGTATACCAGCTTTCCATTCTGTCCTCGGTTAGGGTCTGTGGCAGTCACCTAAAATACAGAGTACATTAACATCAAATAAAATAACAGTCTGATAGATTTAGCTATATTTATATTACAGATTTTCTGCAATATATCAAACATGCAAGTAATTAAGACATAAAATCTTGCTTCATGACAATTGCATTTCAGAGTTGACCAGGATATGAACAAATGTCAATAAATTTTCAGGAATTTGGAAACTCTTTCTGTGGCTTAAGTAAAATTGTTATATTGTCTCCTCTCTGTAAATCTGCAGTAACTAAGAATTAATGTTTAAATATTATTTGTGTCTGAAGTTTGAATCATCCCCCTACCTTCTGGACCAGCACACCAGGTTCCTGTTCCTCTGTGACGGTCGGCGTATAATTACAATTCTCAAACCGAGGCTTGATGTTCTCCTCGTCCTCAATGTTAATCGTAATCAGAGCCGTGCTGCTCCGGATGTTCTGAGGATTGTCACAGCAGGATCCGTCGTCCCTCGCCGTGACATTCAGGAAGATCTGGTCCCTGTCCGAAGGGGGAGACTGACCCTGCCTCAGACTAATTCGACCTGAAGACGGATCTATTTCAAAAACATCACTAACTGTTCGTCCACCTGTGGAAATCAAGACGTTCACTACATCAGATTTTGATCCTGTTTATAAGTAGTTCATTCATGTACAGTAAATGTCTCCTTTATAAAAAGATTAGTGCTTCTTTGAGTTTAAGAAGTCTAAATTCTTAATAGTCCAAGAATGTGTTTATTCATACGAGGGATTTTACAATTAAAATTTATATCCTATCTAATTTTAGCTGTTTTTTACTTTAGCTGTTTTACACTTTTATACTGAAAAAATCAGGTATAAGCAGATATAATATGTTAATTCTAATGCTTCATAATACCCTGGCTTCAGGTATAAGCAGGTATAATACGTTAATTCTAACCTTCAAAACTGTAGGTCACACCATCTCCATCCTGGTCCACAGCACGGACGATGATGACCGTCGAGCCAGAAGGGGCGTTTCCCATCAGAGTCGCTACTTTATTGTCATCGAATTCTGGAGCTTGGTCGTTTGTGTTTGTTGTTGTGATAATCACGCGAGCTTCAGCAGTGCGTGGGGTAACACCGTTGTCCGAAGCTATCACTTTAAATTCGTAGTAATGAGGGAATTTTCTGTCATAATCGAGGGTCCTGAAATAAGGTTTTTAAATACATGTACATGTATATCCAAGCACAAAGCAGCTTAAACATTTGTGGACTAAAACAAAACAAGAGGCCCATGGGCCACATCGCTCACCTGAGTAACTTTGGCCATGCTGTTCATTACCAGACTCCCCCTTGTAATACCTATTGTGGCCCCGCCCTATCCCCTGGGTCATGATTTGAACAATTAAGAGTGTACACTACTTGAGGATGCTTCCACATAAGTTTCAGCTTTTCTGGCCCAGTGGTTCTTGAGAAGAAGATTTTTAAAGATTTTTCCTATATATTTCAATGTAAAACTTGTATTTCCTATTGTGGCCCCACCCTACCCCTGGGGGTCATGATTTGAACAATTTAGAATCTACACTACCCCAGGATGCTTCCACATAAGTTTCAGCTTTTCTGGCCCAGTGGTTCTTGAGAAGAAGATTTTTAAAGATTTTTCCTATATATTTCAATGTAAAACTTGTATTTCCTATTGTGGCCCCGCCCTACCCCCTGGGTCATGATTTGAACAATTTAGAATCTACACTACCCCAGGATGCTTCCACATAAGTTTCAGCTTTTCTGGCCCAGTGGTACTTGAGAAGAAGTTTTTTAAAGATTTTTCCTATATATTTCAATGTAAAACTTGTATTTCCTATTGTGGCCCCGCCCTACCCCCGGGGGTCATGATTTGAACAATTTAGAATCTACACTACCCCAGGATGCTTCCACATAAGTTTCAGCTTTTCTGGCCCAGTGGTTCTTGAGAAGAAGATTTTTAAAGATTTTTCCTATATATTTCAATGTAAAACTTGGATTCCCCATTGTGGCCCCGCCCTACCCCCGGGGGTCATGATTTGAACAATTTAGAATCTACACTACCCCGAATGCTTCCACATAAGTTTCAGCTTTTCTGGCGCAGTGGTTCTTGAGAAGAAGATTTTTAAAGATTTTTCCCATATATTTCAATGTAAAACTTGGATTCCACATTGTGGCCCCGCCCTACCCCCGGGGGTCATGATTTGAACAATTTTGAATCTACACTACCCCAGGATGCTTCCATATAAGTTTCAGCTTTACTGGCCCTGTGGTTCTTGAGAAGAAGATTTTTTAATGACCCCACCCTATTTTGTCTTCTCTTGATTATCTCCCCTTGTGAGGGGACTTGGCCCTTCATTTTAACAATTTAAATTCCCCTTCACCCAAGGATGCTTTGTACTAAGTTTGGTCAAAATTGGCCCAGTGGTTCTTGAGAAGAAGTCAAAAATGTGAAAAGTTTACAGATGGACGGACAGCTAGACAGACGGACGGACGGACGACGGACAAAATGTGATCAGAAAAGCTCACTTGAGCCTTCGGCTCAGGTGAGCTAAAAATCAAGAAAAAAAACACCAACAGATTTAATCTGTTGAGTTCAATAGAGCTGAAGTAGTTTGACTTTTTTCTCTGTTGCAATGACTTGTGAAGAACCTTTAGTACAGATGACCCAACATAACCTATATATATCCATTAATTTAGATGACCCACTATGTCCTACCCATTAGTTCAAATGACCCACTATAACCTATACCCATTAATTTAGATGACCAGCTATACCCTATACCCATTAATTTAGATGACCACCTATACCCTATACCCATTAATTTAGATGACCTACTATGACCTACCCATTAGTTTGGATGACCCACTATACCCTATACCCATTGATTTAGATGACCAGCTATACCCTATACCCATTAATTTAGATGACCTACCCATTAGTTCGGATGACCTACCCATTAGTTCAGATGACCTACCCATTAGTTCGGATGACCTACCCATTAGTTCGGATGACCTACCCATTAGTTCAGATGACCTACCCATTAGTTCGGATGACCTACCCATTAGTTCGGATAACTCCGACTTGTGTGTTGCCAGCAGTGGTGATTGAGAACGTGGGATCCGTCAGGGTGTACGACAGAACGGTACTGCCATCTTTGTCTGATGCAGATACTGAGGAAAAATGAAAGGATTTGGTGTATATAAAAATGAAAGGAATTGCTACACATGAAGGTTCCTTTACAGACAAAAATATTTCCTTGTTTTGCAAATTCAAAAGGACTTTTTTTAATACACTGTCACGAACACTGTATCTCTGCTTTTTACGTGAAACACACTTCAGTCAATGCCCACATGTATTTCAGAATTTCATTCTTCATTCATACACATATGTACATTTTAATTATTCTGGTTTAGTACAGGTTAATTTTGTTTTAGTCTATGTACGGATTAAATCCTGTACCTTCAATGACAGAGGTTCCTATTGGAATGTCTTCCTTCACTGTCGCAGTGAACGTGGATTTACTGAAGAGGGGAGCATATTCATTTCTATCCAGTAGAGTAACTTTCAGCTAAAACACACATTAATATTTGATAATGCCTGAATTTTGTACAATAAATGGTTGGCCTTATTTCTCAAGACTACATATGTAGGTCTCAGAAACTTAATAATAAATTTACATTTAGACGAATACACAGTACACGATCTCCTTACCGGTACGTCGCTGCTACCTCCAGAGACCGTGTCTGCAGCACGGACCGTCAGATCAAACTGTCGACTGTCAGTCTCGTAATCCAGTGTTCTCAGAGTCTTCACCATTCCGTCCTCTATGGCAAACCGTGTAGATATCGCAGTGTCTGACTCGTACACAGAGTATATGATGGTCCCGCCCACTTGAAAATTCTTAGCTTGGATTGATACTTTGTTTCCATCTGCATCAAAAGCCTGAAACCTGTCAACAGAGTACAGAAAAAAAAAGTTAAAGTTAAATTTCTTTCTGTAATAATTAACTTTTGGTGCTTTTTAACATTTAATTTGCTCACAAAGGCTAAGCCAGCTTAGCTACCAATAGTTTGAAAAATTCTCTTTAGATGTATATATGTATACATGATATGTATATATATGATGTTTAATAGCAAAACAGACTAGAACCAGTGCATCAAACTACATGTTTGTTTAAAAATCATTGGGATGGAAATTTTCATTTCTTCAGGGATAAGCATTTGAAATGAAGCATTCAGATTTCAAATTTTAAGTTTTACCGAAATTTCTTTTTTTTTCTATACATTGTACATATGTATCACTTCAATAATTCTGAAAGCAGATCGAATTGTTAATCTAAATACCTAATGAAATTATGAACATCCTTGTTCAATTAACAAACACCCACATGGACCTCAGTAATTCATAACATAAAATAACACCATTACCTGCCATAAATGATGCCATATCATTTTTTTAATATAAACATATAGTATGGCAGACAGATAAAACTACAGCAACAATCATATATTAATATGTTAATTTACATTCAGGACTTCTGGTTATCGTGTAAAACAAACAATTTCTGTAAAACTTTGCATAATTCTGATTACTCATATAAATTCTGTATGTTAACAATTCCAATGGCAACATCATGCAATAAACAAGAACAAATGAATGCATTGTAATTACTGAAGCGGTGCACAAAACAGAACAAGCAGGAGTTGATCACCTTTACGGATGATCAGGTCATCCTGTTAAAGACTTTGGGAAAAAAAAGAGTGAATGAATAGGAGAAATTTTCAAGGAGATGATGTGACTATGATTTATTTGTCATCAAAACGGGCTTTACCAAGCAGAGAAATAAAATACGAAGAAAACCCCATAGCTGAATGAGTCAGATGTGCCATCGTAATAGCCTGAAGTTTTTCTACAATCATTTTGTTTAAGATTTCCAGTTGCCTTAAATTTACAAAGTAAAACATTTCCTAATGCATTAAGCTCTTGTTAACACATCTGTTTGTCACGTTCGGAGAATTCAGTTTTAATTTTATCTAGGACTACGTCATCTGATCCTTGTAAACTGACATGCAAGTTTTTATCATCATTCAGGTCTTGAATTTTATCGGGGTCATTTGACAACTGATCCTCAAAATACTCCTGCATATTTTTCCATTGTTTACAACTACAGCTGTACAAGTTGATATCAATTGGATACTAATTTAAAACACTTCCTAGCTACTATAACGCTTAGTGACGCACATTTTCTGAATAGACTACAGTATATTTTCATACATTTTATAAATGTACAGTACATATTTATACACAGTAAATACTGGTAGCTAAAATTCCTCTTGTTACTCAAGAATAGCTTCAGTTAGTGGATATATATGTGCCTTAAAATTAACTTATAGTATACATGTACATATCATTTTATGTTTTATTTACAGTTGTATAAATAGAGTTGATATGAAAGAATACAACTTTATTTTATTATCATTATATAATAAATTATGTGTTTCCAACAATGTCAGGCAAATTTTTCTGTCCATTTATCAATCTTTTGATCTGTTATTCATGCTATTGTTTGTGAGTTTCTAGTTTTTATTTCATATGGTTTCTCTAGACTCAAAATGCGTTTTTCAAAAAATCAAATGGAACAGAGAAATCTACTCTACTAGGTATTGTCACACAGAATTTAGTAGCAAATCCATTCTAGAGTCATTTGAAAACAAATTAATCACACATGCACTTTTGAAAATCTTTTGAAATCTTAAATTTTCAGCAGAATTAACCATGTTTATGATACATTGGCTGGAACTCAATATATACCACAGTTATAAACATGGTGTGCAGTGTCAATTATAAACATGATAAAGTGAATTCAATTTATCATGAAAAATATACTAAAGTTCATTTTATACTGATTTAATAATAAGGTAACCGTTGATGTAAGGGTAGGGGGAGGTAAAATTTGTTGTACAGGTTATATTGTTTTTAGAAAATTTCATAGCATCTTGGATAATGTTATAATTTACATATTCTACAGGGGAAGGAAGTAAACAAGGCTTGTTTTGTACCTGTTTTCAGAGGCACTGAAAGACAACAAAAAAGAAATCTAAAGGATACACATATCACCAATGATTCACTCACATATAACTAATGATTTACTGAATTTGGATGACTTTTTTCACTAACTACATGTACATATTGAGCATGATGGAAAAAACTCAAAACACATCTACACATTAACAATAAAATTACAACAGATATAAAGAGAAAATAAAAGCAAACTTCATCTTTCACTTTCATTTAAAAGAGAATCATTTGCTGAATAATAAGGACCATATTTTGATGTACTTATCATTGAATGATAAAGACCATTGTAAAATGCTTAGTACACCTGATCTAAGTTGAATGATAAGGATCAACAATAAATGCTTACGCCTGATCTACTTGGTCCGATTCTTCTACCGAGGCTTCGTAAGAAGTGGAGTAGAACTGGGGCGGTCTCTGTCCACGACGGATGTTGATGTTGACTGGGCCGGTCTTTTGTTGAGTCTCGGCCTTGGAGTCGATGGCATACACTTTGATAACGTAGTCCAGACCACTAGTTATCACCTCTGTTGTCCGGATGATGCCAGTGTCCTGGGCAACCTCAAAATAAGGACTACTCCCATCTAAAAAAAAAAAAAGAAGAATTTCAAAAGTGCAGAAATACTATTCTAATATTACTTCACTGCATTTTCAAAAATTGAACAAGCAATGTAAACTTTTTGCTACCCATGTATAATTATTAATTCCTAATCACAAACTAGTAAATTATCACTATTAATTATTTAAAATTTCTTTAAATTTTGATGTGTATTATGTACAATAACTTAAACATTAACATGATTAAGACAAGTTATTAATGTACCATTCTCTTTGAAGTATTTGACTGCACCAGGTCCTCCATCAACGTCTTCTGCCTGGATCTGGAAAACGGACACACCTGCCTGAGCATCTGTAGCCACGACAGCCAGGTATGGGACAGGCTTTGTGATAAATCGGGGTGGTTCATCATTCACATCTTGTACATTAACGGTCACTTCTACTTGCTGCAAAACTGTTCGGGGAAAATGATATTACTATTGAATTATTAAATATCCTTTGAAAATTTTCAAAACTACTTCTGCTGGTTTAATATATTTATAATAGTAATAGTAATTTTATTGTCTTAAATTTAAAAGAAAGCTGTATATGAAATTCTAGTAGATGGTGATCGGTTATGAATTAATTATGACGCCTTAGTACGTGTCTACAGTTTCATTTTCTGATTATTTTCAGTGAAGGAAAATTCATAAATCAAATCTTGAAAAATAATAAATCTATTACAAATTGCCAGCATAAATATATATTGAAATTCTTTTTAAAAAGATTAAAACCATTTTCATCTTTATGTTAAAAGGAAAGTTATTTTCAAAATTACAGGTCCAAGCCTCCAACAGGATCTCGAGAATGAGAGGCTGCTAAACTTCAAACAACTAATGAAAACTTTCAGATTTCCGGATATTATTAATGGACCTAAACATGCTGATTTTTTTAATGATTCCCTTCAAGAGTTATTATAGACTGATACAATCGATAGATTTCATTATTCTACAGTCTTCTTACCAAGCTTGTTACACTGATTTAAAACAAGGTGTTAAAATACCTTTCTTTAACATGTTTAAAGTTTAAACACTATAGAAATTATCTCGACATGTAATCTTTTATTTTTACAAAGACATTTTAGATTGCACTTAATCACTTGTTAAGATACGCAGTGAACCAAGACGGAAGTCACATTTTTTCTGCATGTTTCATTAGAAAGGAATGTGTTTTGATTACGTATTATTGCATTTCTAAATTTAAACATTGAATAAACCCTTTCATAGCTTATTAACAAAGTGAACAATGACATCTGAAAGACTTTCTGCTCAATAGACAATAGCTACGAAAAAAAAAAGATAAAAGAATTCCACTCGTGAAAATTTATATGAAGAGAGAGAAAAATGGGGGGGGGGGGCTCAAGAAATGCTCTAAAAATTACCGAAAGTTTCCTAATTTGATGTCTTAATCATGATCAGCGATACACTGTTATAATTGCTTATAATTTTGTTGTATTTTGAGAGAAACAGCAACAGCATTCTCAATAAAGATGCATTTTAGCTGTAGATCTGTAGCTCGCTGGTCTAAAAAAAAAAATGGATGGTTCTCCAGCTACAGATCTGCAGCTATAATTATGCATTTTAAGTTCAATATTATCTAAAAAGGAATGTCAATTAAAGAGCATGAATTTATAACTATATATATATATATATATATATATATATATATATATATATATATATATATATATATATATATATATATATATATATATATATGCTTAGGTATATTTATTTAATTAGTTTATTCAGGATATAACTTTGGGCAATACAGCCCATCAGTTTACAAAAATAACATATAATAAGATATATTACAAAATTTAAGACTCTCAGTGAGCCTAAATAGAGGGGTGATGTTTTTTAACTTTGTTAGACACGTATCTTTTAACAATTTGCCGACGAAGGGTACAGCATTAACTATTAGGACACAATAATTAAGCTTCCTATTATGGTTCTCTTTAATGTGACTCACCAGACAGGAAGAATATATACCTTTATATTACAGAACTTTACAACACGCACGTGCAAGAGAAAGTGTTACCTATCTGATATGTGTCACGTATAAATTAATGATCTCTTTGTCTGCATATAAAGCAGTCTAACTTTGTTTAGTATAATAAAGTATCTATTTCAATTTTTCGTATAAAATTTCGCCTCCGTCGATTTTATACATCAAATTTCTAAAATTCAATATCCGTATTAAGGTGTCAATAGTAGTTGAATAATTAATCGATTGTTTTATAAAACAGGGGGTATTCATCGCTCCATCTGATGTTACGGTAAGTCCACTGTACCAACAGTACGACACGCAAAGACATATATAGCCACTTCATATATTCGAACTGGTTGACAGGAAATTCTCTCAATGACCTCTTGGTCAATGTTTATTCGCCACATTAAAAGCCAATAAAAGGTGAAAATATTAAGCTTCAATGCTATTATGAGTCATAGGGTGGATTAATACAACGACGAAAGTATTAAACGGCTTAATTACTGATAGATTTATTATACCAAGAGTAACCAGCGCTTATATTTCGTGATATATATACGTATGTATGACCTCTGAAAAGATGGTGGGGGTAAATAGAGAAATCATCCAGACATATACATGATACATGCATTTAGATCTTCATTTAAAAACAGCAACGACAGGGGCTTCATAACAGGGTCAGCATGCATATATTGATTGAAAATAACGAAGAAAATTCTAGGCTAGTTTGTGCTTTCAGAACAGACATTTTATGGTGGTCACCAATCAATAGATCAAAGCAGATTATTATCACAGATTGGAATTTCCCCCAGAAGGCAGGTAGAACAGGGCTGCAGTCCACTGATAGATCTACAGTATATGTATAGCCCACAGAAAACGTGTTAACACGACTAGGACTGTGTTTCAGTAAGGATGTATCAGAAAATAGAATTTGGTATCTAAAACATTGACATGAAAAAAGAAAAAGAATCATCTTGACAGAAAAAAATCTTCCCTCACAGAAGTGAATCAGAACACAACATAAGCCAGCATGCATTGATGAAGAGACATACTAACCTATCCAGTTAGCTAGAGAAAATACAGTGTACGTCAATAATAAACAGATTAACTCAAGTCCATAGGCAGCTTCTCTGTTCTATATGTATTACATTTAATGGTAACCTTTTAAACATGCTTTAGACTTTTTCTACGACATTCAAGTTTTCCACTACCTGTTGTTATAAAGATTTGTATTAGAAGATTTATCATGTACTATTATCAGGTCCATCCCACAAAATACGTCAAAGATTTTTAAAATTCTTAACGCTTGTATAATAATAGTTCAGATATGTAAATACACAATGATTATTGTCTACTTATATAGCTTTGAGCGTTTACCTGAGATAGACAGAATGGGGACGTGTAGAATTGTCTTTTAATCGTGATAAAGAGGATTTAGATTTCTCTCCATTTAAATAAACCAGTTCCAGAACTTAATGTTCTTTTTACTAGGATCCTGAAAAATCTAACCTAACAGCTCAATTTTACTTCTGCTGTAAATTATTTGATCGTATTTCTTGTTTTCTCCAAAGGATAATGTATCAATCGAATATAATTGAACTCGAACTTTAATATATTCAGGATTATTCCCACATTAGAAAATGATGCTAGACGGTAATAAATCAAGCATCTCTTATGGTTAAAGAAAACGAATGCAATTATCGTGGACTCTATTCTTGTACAGTTTTAAATATGACAGTAGGTATTTGCAATGAATTTCTGTAGTCAAAATCTGAATTACAACTCAAATGATTTAAGTGACGAGACAGCGGCCTTGTTAGAGTATGTTAGTATACTAGCAGATCTGTGCAAAGCATTTTTGTTCAGAAACAATGTCTGTTTAGCATGTTTAGATGGTTAATTTTGTGAAGATGAAGTCAACGGGCACCTGCTTTTGTGATACCTTTAGATGACGTTACGTGACATTACATGACGTTATATACCTGTGTCGTCTTCCAGTCGTTTGACATCAATGTTTATGACGTGTTGCTTGACCCCACCATAATCATAATCAAGTTTGGCGGTAGTTTTTAAGGTTACTTCTCCAGTTGTTGGGTCAATCACAAAAATATCTTCCGGGACCGATGAACGAATCTCAAATCGAACTTGGGTCCCCTGGGGTTGTCCAGAATCCACAGTAAAAAGTACCCCCACAGCGTTCTCGTCTATAGGCACGGTCGTTTGTTGCTTAGGAATGTTTGGAGCTTGTCGTTTGAGTCGAAGAGCGTGAGAATCTACATTGTTTGACAGATCTTGTTCAAACTTGGCAGTGAGGTGATTTGACCTCAGGTTATTGTTTGACACTGATGGCAAATTTGTATTTTTCATGTGAGGTTTGTCAACACGAAGAATCTCAACATTAGTATGACCAGTAATTGCACTACCAACTTTGGATAAAAGGGTAAAATAAAATGCACGTTTTGAGGTTTTTGAAGGGAACTCATTGTCCAGAACAACATGGATTTCGTCATTAAACTCATTGGGTAGAATTTTAAAATAATTCGAATAAAATCCCCGCAAAACAAACTCTTGCTGTGGTACTTTGTGTACTGGGATAGTGACGACTGGTCCTTGTTTGCCTTTGGTCACTACATACCCTGTGTAGAGTCTCTCTGAGAACACATCAATTTCTGAGGGAGCAACATGTATCAAAAACGTCCTTTTTGTGGGGACATTATCATAACAGTTAGAGTGAGATAGGAGGGTCAGTTTGTAACTCTGACCCACTCGGTGAGGGATCGTCCTTCTCAGGACCAGATCCCCGCGGTCAGTCAGGACAAAATTGTCATAAAAGTCTCCAAAAGGGTCTTTGGTTCTCAGTTGTAGGTCAGATTTAGTACAACCAAGTTTTAATATTTTGTACCCGATGTCAGCTTTGTAAGGTACAATCACAGTTGTATAGGATTCCGATGTCACTGAATGAAAAAGAGTGAACACAATAGTCGCTAAAATACAACACACACAGGTAATATTTGTAAACTGTACCGATTCCGCCATTTTGAATGTGTTTACACCGTTGTACGGCGATTCAGAGCTAATTAGAAATCAATAAACCAGGTATGATCTACCTGATTCTGACCACATAAGATATGACACAAAAAATCACAAAATCTCCAAACGATCGTCCGAAAATCGAAATACCTTCATATCACATTATGAAACTCCCTTCCTGTGTAATTCAAAAACGATGACAAATTGTATGAATAATCTCCCACAACCGTTAGAGAAGTGAAGCGCGTCCTACCTGTGACACGCCTGAGTAATTTTGTCCCGGTGAAAGCGGCCCTGTAGCACTGAATGCTGTGTGTTTGTAACAACACCGCATGCCTCTGGTAGTCCCAAAACACCGGCGTCTGGGTCAAGGTGTTTAAACGGCACCACTATTGTATTCTTTTTTCACTAATTGAACATTTTGACAGATTTTATTTGTAGAATTTAATGTTTCAGTGGGGAAGTTGACAGCGACTTTACGTAGATATACTGTACAGTCAATTCAATCTAAGGACAGAAAATCATTTTAAAACCATCATTCAGCCAGTTATACAGATACTCTGGTATGCATAGCAAAATACGGTATAGATACCGGTATATACAATATACATGGCCGTAGGAACCGGGGGGGGGGGGGGTGGGCACTGGGGGTCGTGTCCCAGATAATTTTGCCGATATAGTTTACTTTAGAACACATAGCTATTATATGCTTGTGCCCCCTCAATACAACGTCTGATGACCTTTTCTTTTTTCTTTTTTCCTTTTTGCGTGTAAAGGAATATTTAGTAGTTGATAGTGCTTCCCTCAACTGAAAATGTAAAGCTGTGCACCCCCCCCCCCCCCACTGAAATTGCTTCCTACGGGCCTGATATACAACAAAATACGGCAAACTTCTGCCAAATAGATACCGGTATATATACAGTATACAACAAAATGCGGTATCCTCCTGTCAAATAGATACCGGTATATATACAATATACAACAAAATACGGTATCCTCCTGTCAAATAGATACCGGTATATATACAATATACAATAAAATACGGTATCCTCCTGTCAAATACAATCATGACAATATACAACAATATAGGGTATCCTCCTGTCAAATAGATAATGGCATATACAACAAAATATGGTATCTTAATTTAAACAAATACCGGTACATGCATAGAGACAACGAAATACGTGAGCACAGGATAGTGAAACTGAGGCTGAAAAATTTCGGGACAGCATCAAAAATTCTCATATTTCTAAGATGCCTTTCTCCTACATCCCAGTGGATATAATACAAGATACAAGATATTAATTTTTATTGACCAATCAAGGGCCACGGAAGGCAATTTAACTACAATTTAAAAGTTATTTCACTACAGATTTTTATTTATTTTTTTAATGATGATTATTTATATAATTAATAAATTACAAATTGGCCAACAGAAAAAGTATTGGGGTTAGAATATCGGAAATGCTTATTCATTGGTTCAGTGATTAACGATGAAATATTTAATTTATAAATTATCAAAAATATTTATAAATATATTCAGTACTGATCTGATCAGGGAAAAAGTTTTTATATATCTTTATTAAATAAATACAGATGCTGAAAAAGAAGAACACAAAAAGCTTTAAAAAAAACTCCCCGAGTATATTCTATCCATTGAACTTTACATACAGTAGATAATAAATTAAATTTGTTCTATTAAAACATTTTAAACTAAAATGTCTTAAGAAAGTATACTGCTAAGCATTTGGATTCCAAAGTTACAGGATTAATAATATATATTCAAAATTTGTGTTTAAAATTAATCTTCATAGTCATAAAATAGATATTATATAATTATTAAAATTCAAATTAATTGAGCCCTTAAATTAAATTAAATTTAAATTGAAGTAAATTATAAATTATTATAAATTAAGTAAATATTATTATGAATAAAGTAAATTATAATTATTATAAATTATTAAATTAAAGTAAATTATAAAATTGTATTTATACGACATAACGTATATAATTTTATCGATTAACAGGCAAAAGGTCAAATACTTTTTGAAGGAGTTTTCTTTGGATTTATTATCTCTTGCTGAAAGATTGCAATCGAGAAATGCATTAAGGTACCAGGCATTAAGAAACCTGTTATGCACAACTATTTTTTTTTTCTTCTTGAATCGATATTTGAAACTTGTTTCGAAGTGCAAAAAGGTCAATATTTCACTAGCTTTCACTAAGAATATGTCACCATCCTTTCTCTTTTGTATTCTTGTTCTCTATCGTAGAAGATAATATAAAAATTATACTTCATGAAAAAATGACATTACAATACTTTCAGGTGCGCACCTCTTTAATTAGCTCATAATATTCAGTTCCTTTTTCATCGCCATATATTCATAATAAGCTGCAAACGTAGCATAGAAACAGTGTATGATATAATAAATCACCAAAAGTGGTTAAATTATCGTAATTTCTGTCAGAGGTTAAGTGTCTGTTGACTGGAGGACAGAGCGATTGTTTGCTCCTCTTATCAAATGTTGTGTTAAAGCTGTCGCTTACATCCTGGTGTAGCATCATAAAGAGCCTTATCAAAACGTATACAGCTCTCGATTTGTCAACCTTTAATTTATAATCTCACTCGAGTCACAGGTTAACATCCTGTAGTGTTGTTTTAACTAGCAAAACTGGGAATGTTTCTCTGGGTGATACTGTTTCTAAAAAAAATCGAGTTAGATTTTTATTTAAAAATGTGTTTGTGAAACACTGATGCCTCCGTTTGGAAGCTCATTATGATGGGCCGTTTTGGTATTTACTGCCATTAAGTCACATCACCTATTTGATTTCAAATGAATGATGATATCACCTATTCAAATAGGTGATATCAGCTTTTCAAATTGGTGATATATCACTTAATGACAATAAACACAAAAACAGCGCCTCAGAGCTCATAACCGAGGTTAAGGTTTTTCAAAAGTGGGTGAAAACATAGGCACCTGACGAATGTTTGGTGCAACCCCCCCCCCCCCCCATCCCTTTCCTACTGAGATTTTTTTTTTTACACACGATAACTTAGCAAATATACATGAATTCCAAGTCTATGATACCAATACCTCGATATTTCATATCATCTCCCATTTTCGTCAGGTTTTAGAGATTGCCCCTTTGCGGTATATTAAGATACTACTTTAGTATTTTTATGTACCGTAAAGGGACAATCTCTAAAACTTGACTGAACATGGATTATGTTATAGGGATAATAAAGTTGACATGAATTGCCAAACTTCACGTATATGAATTATTCTGTAATTCAAAATTGAACTCGATTCCACCCCTTTGTCCCCTACCATTACGTACTATTATATTCTACTATTCCTAGGACAGTTCGAATCTGTAACAAATGCAATTCTGATAGAGTGAAAAATAATATCCATTTTTTACAGTGAACTTTTAATTATCTATTTTTTTTTTTTTTTTTTTGATCTTATAGAAGAAAATGTGCATTACTTCCACACACTCCCAAAATGATGAATATGAATTCATATATTACACTTGTCACTAGTTTATAATAAGTATTAAGATATATATGTGTAATACTAGTTTATAATAAGTATTAAGATATATATGTGTAATACTAGTTTATAATAATTATTAAGATATATATGTGTAATACTAGTTTATAATAAGTATTAAGATATATATGTGTAATATTCTATCGAGAATGTATTACATGAACTTTACATTAGTGATAAAGTATGGGAACAATTTTTTACCTTAAATGTAATATGATACGTGGGAGTAATTAAAGCATGTTCAGTGTCACTTTTACAGTCAGTGTGGTATCTTGCTTTCAGTATTTTACAGTTTTTAGAGTATTTTGCAGTATTCAAGAGCACTGTTTTTCTTTACTTGACATTTCGCTTAAATCAATCGGCCTTATATGTATTTTATTACCAAACGTACATTGATACAATGGATGTTTTTTCAGTAAATGTATTTAAAAAAAACGTATTACGATTCATAAATGTCGTAAAGTGGGGTCTATCATGGATCTTCCAGAAGTGCTGGACGGAGGGGAATAAACTCTATATTTCAGTTTTTTTTAAATTTTACAGTATGACGAGTGTGAAGCGTATCAGTAATAAACTGTAAGTGTAGAGTGTCAACAATTAACGGTCAGTGTAGTGTGGAGAGTGTCAACAATTAACAGTCAGAGTAGTGTGGAGAGTGTCTATAATTAACAGTCAGTGTAGTGTGGAGAGTGTCTATAATTAACAATTAGTGTAGTATGGAGTGGTCTATAATTAACAGTTAGTGTAGTGTGGAGAGTGTCTATAATTAACAATTAGTGTAGCATGGAGTGGTCTATAATTAACAGTCAGTGTAGTGTGGAGAGTGTCTCTAATTAACAGTTAATGTAGTGTGGAGAATGTCAGCAATTAACAGTCAGTGTAGTGTGGACAGTGTCTATTATCAATAGTTAGTTTAGTGTGGAGAGTGTCTATAATCAACAGTTAGTGTAGTGTGGAGAGTGTCTATAATTAACAATTAGTGTAGTATGGAGTGGTCTATAATTAACAGTTAGTGTAGTGTGGAGAGTGTCTATAATTAACAGTTAGTGTAGTGTGGAGAGTGTCTATAATTAACAGTCAGTGTAGTGTAGAGAGTGTCTATAATTTAATGTTAGTGTTGTGTGGAGAGTGTCTTTAATTAACAGTCAGTGTAGTGGACAGTGTCTATAATTAACAGTCAGTGTAGTGGACAGTGTCTATAATTAACAGTCAGTGTAGTGTGGAGAGTGTCTATAATTAACAGTTAGTGTAGTGTGGAGAGTGTCTATATAATTTACAGTTAGTGTAGTGTGGAGAGTGTCTATAATTAACAGTCATTGTAGTGTGGAGAGTGTCTATAATTAACAGTTAGTGTAGTGTGGAGAGTGTCTATATAATTTACAGTTAGTGTAGTGTGGAGAGTGTCTATAATTAACAGTCAGTGTTGTGTGGAGAGTGTCAACAATTAACAGTTAGTGTAGTGTGGAGAATGTCTATAATTAACAGATAGTGTTGTGGAGAGTGTCAGTAATTAACATGAACTTTATTTTCATAACTGACAACAGTGAAGAGAAGATATGTACAATATAATGAACAGAAAATATTACATGCCTGAAGAAGAGATAACAGAGTGTAATATTAAGAATATTGTTAAATCATAGTTTTTTAATGATTCACATAAAAAATAGCTTGCTGAGTTTCACTT